TGTGACAACCTTCATACTCGAACCACCACCACACCCCCCCCCTATTTTTTTGGACTGAGCGTCCTGATAATGCAGACTTCATCCGCAGGACTGAAAATCAGTGTGGGAATACCCAGTACAAGGCTGAAACAATTTGTCTGGCAAAGAAATGAAGAGGAGGGGGAATCAACGCTGCGAATGACAAAAGGCAATTTCAAGCTTCAATGGCTTGTTAGTTTTGTTACAAGGAGCTATTTTTAGAGATGAGCGCGTGTTCTACGGAGGACACGCATTGTTGTCAATATTGGCTGGTTTCATATCTACAGATTTCATGGCCTATTCAGTTTCTGATGAGTTTACGGCATGATCAAGGCTGTGGAAAAGCCACAAAGCGAAAATTCTTCAAACAGTCCCCAAATACAAACGCAACTCGTCCTCATGTAACGAAGAGCATGTGTGGCAAACGCAACAATACAGAAGAGTCAGTAAGGGGCTTTTCAACACAGAAATGAACTTAGCACAAGTAAGAATTGCTTAGCCCAAAATGCATGTGATGTGATTGTTAAGCCCGGTTCATACTTCACGCGAAAGCAAGTGTGAAGCGAAATTCATGTCGTCAACAATGGTGGATGCGCTTCGAACGTATTGTTGACGTCTCGACCGGGCTATATGACAAACAATATGTCATGTGATGAATACTGAATGTGATGGATCAGCTTTTATTGGCCGGTATTAAACAAGTACATGTATGTTGAAAATGGGTAGGGGCCTGGTGGCAGATAATGGTTCTTGCCGTTGACTCAGGCCAGGATCAGCATCCAGGCCCCAAGCTGGTTTCGAACATGCCTGTGGAAGAACAAATAAAGTGGAAGCACTTTCCCAGCTACTTTTAATTAGTATTATTATATTTCTGGTGCTGAAACCAAGAAATCTTCAAAAGTGCCCTAGGCACTGTAAGCTCGCAAGCCTGAAGAAACCTGTAGAGAGAAGACAGTGAGAAGAGATTCCAGTTTTAGAGGTGGGAGGAAAACCCCTGAAGAATATTCTGGGGAAAACCCACGGAATCAGGTAGGGACTGAAAACCCAATCCACATGTTGACCAGGACCGGAATCGAACCCAGCCATACAGGCGGAAGGCGAGGAAAGTAACCACTGCGTCAACCTGACTATCACGGAGCAGTTATTTTGAAAGATAGACGGCAGAATACTTATTACTATTACTGGGACGCTTCTGCATTGTACAATGATCACGTTCTGAGACTGGTCTGTATCTGGCGGGGGAAGCACTAGGGAGCCTGCACGGTCCACTGCTTAGAGCTGGGGGAGGTTATTGCCAACTCCCTCACAACCCCAAACTGCAAATTGGGTTTCTAGGACTGAACGTGCGTCTGCTACAAATTAATCTGGTGTCCCGGGTAGACGTATCTTTATTGTCACAACCCTGATATATATATATATGATGTGGTTAATTATAAATAAAAATGGGATTAATTATTCTGACCCATATACAGAGCTGCAATGGTGGGAGCAAATACAGCAGCGGCCAAGGTAAACCGGCCTCCCTGCCTGGCGCCTTGGGGAGAAAAATTAAATTTGATGGATTGCTATGTTCAGTTGCTTATGACAAGAAGATCTCAGTGAAATATTGTGGCAATTTTGAATCTAGGTTGTTGTACAAAATACTGTACTTGAATTGACAGGCTGTATAACTCAAGAGTTAATGACACTGGAACTTCGCTCTCTTTCTAACATTTGTCTAACTGACACTTTATAGGAAAGATGCACTATTGGCTGGCAAATTCAACGAAGCTAACCCAGCAGTCGAAATACATCAAGTGATTGTGCAGTTCAGTCCTCATCACCCACACAAAGCAGGATTGTTTGGCTGTAACTATTCTTATGAAACTTGATACATCAATGTTTTCAATATAGAAGATTGATAAACCAGCTGTGCGTACCAGTTTATTACTTGATCTGATACACCGTGCCCTCTGGAGACATGCACACAATGGAACAAAACATTGTATACATCTCCACAGGGCAATTTCTATAGATGAATACGTCTCCACAAGGTTTTCACGAAATTGATATATGGATTTTACTCAATAACTAGGAATTTCCAAGGTATGTTGATTTGTCGCAAATGGTAGAGTTTTAGAAAGGGGATATTAATTCCGAATTTCAGCCAAGGAAATTAATTCTGGTTAAAATAAGAGCATTTTTAAATAAACTATCAAACTCGAAAACTAGTACATGAGAACAAAGAAATGTCTCCGCAAGGATGTACACATTTCAGAATGTGTGCTTTTGTCTGTTGATGGAATTTGACTGTCACAGTGCCTACAGGAAATATGATCTGATTGTTGGTGACTAACCTAGCTGTGTAAAAGGCATGGCAGGGGAAGAGGATTGAAGTTTTGACTGTCTGTGACTGGTCAAACAAAAGGAGGGTTTGTTTAATGACAAACCTTAGCACAATATCCGTTAATGTGCGTGTGTGCGCATGCTTACTATTGTAACTGCTAAACCCTTTGGCAATGGTATTACATTTCATTTTATAAAATAATTATAATGAAAGCCATGTGATGGTACAAATGTAAGTATAATCAACTTTCCAAAAATGAAACATCGTGAAGGAAAACACACGTTAAATACCTCAACCATCATGCTAGATCATGATAAATTCAAGAACAATGTTCCCAGATTATTTTTCAGGCACATCAGTAGAGATTTTTTCTTTATCAAGGAAATGATTATTTTTGTTGTCAGATAACTTTCTACATCATGGATGAGTATTTTGTGACAATTGTTGAGAAGTTTTAACTGTTAACAACTGTCATGAAAATATCCATCACTGAAATAACATAACAATGGAGGCACTTGAAGAGAAATGTTGGCTGCTATAGCCACCTCATCCCATCCTGAATAACTCTATCCATTTTCTAATCCCCACTCAGGGAGTGGGGGCCTTTAATCCTTACTCAGGGGGATTTGTATTGATTTTGTAATCCAAACAATTGATTTGTCATCACTTCAACTCTCGTTCTCTTGATAGTCCGTGTCAATCCCACCATACTGCCAGACAAATATAACAATTTATGACTATCATCCATATTTCATATTAACAAAGCAGATGTTTGCAAACTCTTAGCTGCTATCAAAAAATCAAATTGTACTGGTAGGAAAAAAGTGCAAACCACCCGCATATAAACCATCAAGGCTGCATTCCAGTGGTTTTATGGGAAATAGGGATCGCTTCAGTGCTTTTGCTTGGGGAGTTGTTTAATTGCTCAAATTATTGATATTTTTAATGGATTTGGGGCTATACTTCAAAGACTGATATACAGAAATCTGGTAATTTTTTTTGTTCAGCTGACGGAAGCATCTGAAGAAAGTTAGGGTAATTTAGCAGAGGATGATATGGTACCCTTCTTTCATTTGAGATTGATTAGGTTTGATGACATTTTCAAATTCCCGAGAACCTCTGGAATTTCTAAACGCTGAACCCTAAAAAGCGGAATGTTTCAACCTTGTCTGTGGTTTTGTGCTTGCAGGTCTGAAAAGTCCAGAACAGAAAACCCTTTTCTGTCAATTTCATGAGGATAGCAAAATTCTTACACACTGGATGAGTAATAAAAACCATCAAACAAAATGACTCATAAGGATGAATAGTAAAAAAGCAACCAATAAAAACATTATGACAGAAACACATAGAGGGAACTAAAATATGCTAAAAACATTAAAGTAACCAAGGCGAGTCAAGAAGCTAAACAGCCAAAAACAAACCATCACCACAAATCTGGAATCAAGTGATTAATCCGTCAACGGCTGTTTTAAAAGGTGAGGCTGATCTGGAACAACACATTTTTAATAGGGAGAGAGTTCCACAGCAACGGTACACTATGAAACCAGGACTTTTTTTAAGGTATTGCATCTGGCCAATGGGATATGAAAAGTTGGAAGTTCTCTCCGATAGTTAATCCAAAACAAAGAATTGTCAGGGCTTGTTACATTGTAGAACATTTGGTAACAAAAACATTGACTCAACAGTTTCTTGATTCATCACAGTCCAAAAAAGGAAAAGAGAATTAGAGTGTGATTTTAAAGTGTGTTTATATGACATGAAAATTGTTTTACCAGTTTGACTTGGTTCCTCCTGTCAGGGTGGTTGAGCGTGCAACCAGGATCTCTGCTTCCTCTCAACCATACACTCTATCTGTGCCGAGATGTACAGGGTGAGTAAAAAAAAAACGAAACCCAAACATTGGGACCATTGTTTTAGGGAAGTTCTGCATATAGCATTTTCAAAATCTAGGATTTGAAAGCCCAATTCATAAGTTTTTTTTTAGTACAAGAATCATTCAAATCACTTATGTCATTTTCAAGTTACGGAATTTTAAACACAAGGTTCTGAATTTTAAGGTTCTGTCCACGGATCACAGAAAAGGTGTGCGTTCTTTCAGCAAAACGAAAACAATTCACACACAGCTCTATGTGATTTGTTTTCGTTTTGCTGAAAGAACACTGAACTTTTTTGTGATCCGTGGACAGAACTTTAAAATGGTGGTTGTGTTTAAAATTCCACAACTTAAGAAGTACATGAGTGATTTGAATGATTCTTGTACTAAAAGAAAGCTAATGAATTGGGCTTTCATATCCCAGATTTTGAAAATGCTACATGCAAATCTTCTTTAAAACGATGGTCCCAACATTTGGGTTTCCTTTTTTTTTACTTACTCTGTAGAAAAAAGAGCTACTCTAATGGCTATTTCCCACGTTCTGTATCTCTTTGGAACTCCTTTTCCAATGGTTGTTTCCTCAATTCTATGATCTAGGCTCTTTTAAGAGGAATATCAATGCCTACATTCAGCAATCCTGATTAATTTTGTTCTTTTCTTCATATTTTTCTTCTCTCTAGCCCTCTGCCAAGAGTAGCTTTTATAGCCTTGCTGGGGGCGATTTCCATTTAAAAAAATTGATGATTGAAGGACAAAAACATTGAATAAAAATAGTTACTTTACCTGTCTGATGAACTCTGCTCCGCTGTACTTGAGACTCAGCTCGTAAAGCTCACTTCCAAATGCTGCGGCCCATTCTTCAACTCTAATGTGAAAACAAATAAAAAAGATCAAGTGAAATAAAATGTCTACCAGGCAAAACTTGGTGTTTTTGGTTACTTTGAAAAATTGAGAAAGTCAAATCCATATTAAACACCGAGACAAAAATGGTCGAGGGGATGTCACAACAAAATTTTACAACACTGAACATTTTTTAAATAATAAAATGAAACAATTATTGGTAAGATTTTGCAGCAGTCAAACTTGGAAGTACATTGCAGTCATCTTGCTCTGTTAAAAGTATGGATCTGATCCCCATAAAAGCCTTGACTAAACTGGTCAAGGAGATGTCGCAACAAGACTGTGCATTATGTCCCAAAAAAGTGTCTGTCTGACTGTTTTTAAAATAACTACAAAACCAAGAGGTCAATTTGAAAACTTTTGGTTGTGCAGATACTCCTAAGCCTTGGCCTAAACCCCTACGAGTTTCATTTAATTTCAGTCACACATCACTGCACAATTGTCAATTGATCAACAACATTTTTGGACCTGTGACCATGCATTAATCAATTTCAGTGCTGTGTTGTGTAAGCTGTATAAAATCCTGCATGTTGAGGAAAAAAAAAACCGCTGATGTGGTTTGGGATTGGAATCATTTGCATTCAACCGATGTCTTGCCATGATACTGATAACCAGGCAAATGATTCCAATCCCAACTGCAGCCCTTTTCACATCATGAAGGATTTTGCACAGCCTACTTAACAAAGTACTGAAATTGAATAAGGCAAGGAACTTGGTCAGTGTCCAAAAAGGTTGTTGTGATCGATTGACAATTGTGTAGTGATGCGTGACTGAAATTAAATGAAACTCATAGGGGTTGAGGCCAAGGCTAAGGAGTATCTGCACAACCAAACATTTTCAAAATTGACCTCACGGTTTTGTAGTTATTTCAAAAATACTCAGACTGACACTTTTTTGGGGACATACTGTATAACACTGATGGCAAAGTTCTTAAGAACAACATTTTTGGGGGGAAAAAAGCTGATAATCAACATTTTTTGAGGGAAAAAGCTGATAATCAGTCAGATTTTGAGGCAGTCAAGCAGTCAATACTCACCCTGCTCCATCGATGCTGACATCAGAACTGACTTCAACCAGCAACGCAGCTAAGAGAAGTAGTCGGAGATTACTTGCCATCCAGCGTGTCATGATCCAATACAAGTCATATCTCCCAAAACGACAGACGAGAAATCCGCGACGACAGTTTCTATAAACCCACACGGCGTGCGCCAGACACCACTGCCTCACATAGTCTGGATAATCCTATGGAGCGAGTGTCGGTGTGTTGACATTCACTCCAACAGTGTGTGTGTTGCTCTTTTATTATTTTTCCTCCACGTCTTAGTTTAGAGAAGTAAGCACCTCAGGCGACAGAAGAGTTCTTGGGATGAGAAAACTTGTATATCCCGATACCTCAAGTCCCAGTTTGCTGGCTACCTCTTGACCAAGACTTGGTCACGGACGCAGGGTCTATCAGTGTAACTGAGCCGTCACGCCGGTAGCTATTTTTCCACTTTGGTCCGTCAACGCCTGACAGAAAAATTGATTTTTTTTTCTCCTTTTGCTCAGTCTTTCAATCTTGTTGTCTTCTTGTAGCCACCTCCTATGTTTGGGAACTGTTAACACTCACGTTGTTGCTCCGCTATGCATGTGATGGTACACTTCACCGGTAGGATTCTTTTTATTATTCAACGGTACCCCCCTCTTGGAATGCAAATTGTCAATGAATCTTTGAATAGTTAATGCGTGGTGGCTACCTCCTCCTGCACCGCTCCTGTGTAACATGTAAGATACCAGCATCCTTGCCACACACACACACACATGCATTGTGCATCACTTGTTAATAATTAATTAGGTACAGTACGGTGGTGCAGTGTCTGTGTGTACCGGGGGTTGCATTGGGAAGTCAGTGACACAGACCCAGAGACCAATCGTTAGCCTTGGACCGGTTTTATTGGCTGGGAATTGATCAGGGAGGTCTGGCTGATCGTGACAGCCGTTTTGGGCATAATCTGAACGCAAAATGATCAATTAAATCTCATTTTGGCTTATACATGCAAGTTATGCAGATGATTTTCCAAATTAAAATCCCGCACAGTTGTGGTCACTATTTGCTTGGAATAAACTAAATGAACTGTTTATTCTTGTGTATTTATTTCTTTAAAAAAGCCAGACTTTCATTATCTGGACAATAAGTTTGCTCTTCATAAGATGGAATTTTGCATCTCATTTTGACTTATACATGCAAGTTATGCAGATGATTTTAAAAATTAAAAATCCCAGCACAATTGAGGTCACTATTTGCTTGGAATAAACTAATTAACTGTTTATTCTTGTGTATTTATTTCTTTAAACAAGCCAGATTTTCATTATCTGGACAATAAGTTTGCTCTTCATAAGATGGAATTTTGCGTCGGGGTGATGTAAGTTTGCTCTTTCTGTTGTAGCGACTTGTATTAAAAATAAAGGATATTTTAAGGCAGGAAAAACATTTCCTTCTTTACATTTTCAATAGATGACACAGAACGGAGGTTTCAAAAAGGAGAACGCATTTTGCTTAATGCTTCAAATTTGCCTCAAACAGAAGCAATGAATTATAAACAAGAATAACTGAAAAACAAAACAATCAATGAAATATATTTTAAGAAGTTTGTCATAGGAATTTTTTGAAATAAATTATTTGCAAAAATCTTTACTGGTATGGTAACTTGAGAAGATCAACGCCGCTTCTTTAAATTCAATGCCAGTTTTGTTTAAAATTGCAATCCCTCATCAGACGAACAAAAAATCCTCAGAAAGGTTTATCATTATTTTTATCGACAATTTTAGCGCTGTCCAACAAACAACAACAAAAGCTGTGCCACCTCTGTGTTCTGATGCTATTTACATAAGCAAAAACTCCTAAAGGAGTTTGTTCAAATTTGTGTATTTGCATCCAACGTTATCACAATCTAACAGCTTGGGATTTATTTATCAACATTTCCATACTGTGATATCTCCAGCATCTGTATCGTTCTGAAAAATTCTCACTGACTCTAAAAATGGCAGCGGCATACCACTGCCTTAAAGGGAATGTACAACAGTTGCTTTTGCTGCAATTTTTAAGAAATAAATGGATTTGGAGGATTAGTATGTTCTGGCAAATATTGTTAAAATTACTTGTATCACGTTTTGGGCTTATAGATGCTGGAAAAATCAAGAAAACCAATCATGTTCTTGTTGTCGGGTTCCCTAACTCTTCTTAAGATGAAATGGAGAATTTATAGACTTTGGGGAATTGTAAAGTCAGAGAACCCTGCACACGTGTGTAATCAATTACAAAGAAAACGTGGAATAACTAATTATGAAAAAATAAGAGCACTTTTTGAGGAAAAAAAAACAGTTTTCTCCAACGCTGGTCGGCCGACCAGCGTTGGAAAAATAACATTTTTCTTGAAAATAACAACACACTAGGAGCCACAATTTTACAGGATGCTTTAGACCGTCATTCCCTAACAATTCAGTAAGGTATATCATGATAATTTGATCATTTCGTTTTGTGATGTTTGCAAATGTTGTATCTTCCCTTTAAATTATTCATTTTTTTTTTTAAAGTGATATTAAAATGTCATATCTGATACCTGCAGGTGTGGTTTACGTCAGCTACTGACAATTAATTTTAACAAGAGATTTTAAAGAGGCTATCCTATAACCTATCCTGTTGTATAAACAATTTAAATTGACACCCTTGCAAAGGAAAGCTTTCAGGGTTTTTTTACATCAGCCGTTGGCAAATTATATTATACTGTTTCATACTAAACTTAAAGATCAATTTCAAAATCAAATTTAAAATTGTCAATATTTGGCTAAGTTTGTTGTGGTCTTTCACAGAGAAATAATGGTTTCCAAAAAATAAATCCCCTCAAAAAAACAAAAAAAATTATAGAATTTTGATCACAGATATCACAATAGGTTAACCCTCCTGCTATTTAAACAGTTACAGACAGTCAAAATTCACTTCCACTTCCCCTGCTACACTTTTACTTTGGCTAGTCACCAGCAGTCAGATCATATGTCAAGCAAGCACTGTGACTAGTCAAACTCAGTCAACAGACCATTAACAGCCAAAAGCAGGCCACTTGTGGTCACAGCTGTTTTATCACTCACCCGGAGTCAAAGCATAGCTGAATCAAGTTACTTAAATAATCACAACCAGTCAATCCTGCTATATGTAGGCTGGAATTCTTAACTGTTGAAAGCAGTCACTTGTTTGATTTTGACAGAAAGGACTACTTGGCACAGAACGTTTGTTTGTATAGGATGGTTAAAGAGAATATACAACATTTGCTTTTTCTGTAATTTTCAGAAATTGATGGATTTTGGGGATTGGTATTTTATAGCAAATATTACTACACTTGTGTTTGTTTGTGCTGGACAAACCAAGAAAACAATCATGTTCTTATAGTCTGGTTCCCTGACCCCATCACTTAAATTGAAATGAAGCAATTTATAGACATCAGGGAATTGCAAGGACATGGACCCAGTCTAGAAGGCTTGTACCCATTCATAGATGTGTAATCGATTGCAAACAAAATTCAGACTTACTAAATACGGTATTTAGGGGGCAGGATTTGAAAAAATCCAGTTTCTTCCCAACGCTGGTCGACCAGCGTTGGAAATCGAAACAAAAAAAACTTTTCTTGAAAATGTCAGCACACCAGGTGCCATGATTTTACAAGATGCTTTAGACTGTCATTCACTAACAGTCCAGTATGGTATTTCATAATAATTCGATAGTTAAATTTTTTGATGTTTGCAAATGTTATTCCTTCAAGGAAGGAAGCAGACCCAGTAGAATGTTAAAAACTTCCCACATCAAAAGCCTCACCTTGAATTGAACAAAACGCTCCTGGCTTCACCGCTCTGTTTCACACTCTATCAGGTTACCATGACAACTCAAAAACAACCACTTTTTGGTTAATGATTGCAGTGCCTACCATAGACATTGATTCAAAAAATTCAGCCTTCAGGCATAGTGCACTGGTTTGATACAACGGGCGGGAACTGAGGCGTGTATTATGGCTGCGCACCAATCAATACAGTTGCGCTCTCATGAATATCACACTATGAAGCTTTTAATACCAGGGTTTATATTTGGTTGTCTATACACCTCTGTTTCTAAGCCAAATATTTGTGATTTTGGATTTTAAGCCATTCCAAAGATTAGGACATGTAACTGGGCTGTGATGAGGGATCACTGGGGATCAACTATGGGCGTCTCCCAAAAAAATGTGGCAATCAAACAACCTTTTTTTTTCTGAGGAAACCAAATGATTATTTGTGCAAAATTTACCACAAGATGATAGTGATGATAATTTGAAGATGATAGTGTTTCTTTACCCTTGACAGCATTTTTGTTCTGTGTGATTTGGACCTTTTGTTTAAATGTTATGGCAAAGCTTGTAAAGACTGTCAAAATCTGTTTGGGCCACTTTTTCACCTTCTTGGTATGGAATACCTTTCATAAGATACCAAGTGGCCCAACTTGGAATTCAAGTCCTTTTATTTCATTAGCTGTATCTCTGGACTGGGATGGCCAAATGAGATGGGATAAAGACCACTGTGTAGAGTATTTACTATACCTTTAGACTCTATAGAAAAGTTTTGCCAAAACAGAGAGTGCTAGTGGACAGAACTTTAAAACGGTGGTTGTGTTTAAAATTTCGTAACTTGAAAATTACATGAGTGATTTGAATGATTCTTGTACTAAAAGAAAGCTTATGAATTGGGCTTTCATATCCTAGATTTTGAAAGTGCTACATGCAGAACTTCACTAAAACAATAGTCCCAACATTTGGGTTTCGTTTTTATTACTCACCCTGTATGGCCATGGTTGTAAATGTATTTACATTTTTATTGTCTAGAAACAAAAACGAATTTCAGAGCTATCTTTCAATTGTACAGTGACATTGTCACGTACGCGTACTTCAAACCTACCATCTTATTTCTCCCCAAAACAATCCCGTCTGCAATTAAATATTCAAACAAAAAGCTTGTTTAAGGAATCCTTAAAGCTGACATTGAGATAGGAAAGTTTAGTGGGGCATGTCCTAGCAGACAATGTTGAGTGTCTCATTAAAGTGATGTGAATATACCAGTAAATTGAGATTTGAAGGTTTAATACCAGTAAATGTTCAGTTCATACATAGTCATGATAGTCAGAAGTAGAACAGCCAAGGTCACGTGTTGGCTTGGCGATGTTTCCACACAAACCTGGATGCACATACGTAGCGATATGCCAGTGCCCAATTTTCATCATTTTTTATCGATTGGAAAAGAAAAATAACGGAATCCGTCACGTTCTGATTGATAACTACAGTCAGCTACAAAGCACTGCCCGATTTTTCAGTCTTATGTATTCTTAATGTCCGAGAAATTCCAACTAGTAAATGTTCACCTTCATTTGTAATATCGCTCGTGAAAAACTCATGATAAAAACGGCTGCCATGACATTTTGGAACAATTATTATGAGCCCGCGTGACGTCACACTTCTACCGTGTATGAGATTGTGTCCAACATTGGCTTTGTATTGTTGTCTACAACTAAAACATTGCTGGCAAAAAGTGAATATGTAGTCACCCCCAAAAAAGTTTCGGACATGGAGTCATGAAATTTTGACTCCTTTGAAATATGATCTCTTTTACCTTATATGGATTCTAACCCTCACATGGGACCTCTTAATTTGCAAAAGTAAATCTTCATAGGCGTGCGCAAATGAGTCCGTATTTCATAGTCCAAACTTCACACTATATATATCGGCCTCCAGAGAGTGGAATCTCTCTACAATGACCGAGTACCAGC